ATTTCGGGTCACTTATGGTACTTAGTATCCGAATCGGCAGCATTAGCATTTTTTGATGATGATTTATGTGAAGATACTAAATTAAAATGGTAAACTTATTAAATAATCGGGAAGAAGATCCCATGTACAAACAAACGTATAGTAGTTGGAGTAAATGAAATTTATGATTTAAAAAATAAAAGTATAGATGATTTTATTTCAACTGAGTTAAAAAAAATGTTTGAAAGATATGACATTGAAACAGATTTTTTAAATATCAATCCTTTGTTATGGAAACATAACAGTCAATATATCAGAGGAAAAATAATAGTAAATATTTTAAAAGTTATAAATGATTTGGCATTTATAACTTATAGAAGAGTATAATAATATTTTAACAAAAGACGAAGCACAAAAACAATACCTATTACAGATTGTTACAGAATACCGGCGTTGTTTTCCTAATTGCAATAAAAGCACATTATGACAAGAATTTAAAAAAATATTATTTAAAATATGTAGTACATTTTTTTAGTACGTTTTTTTTTTTGTAAACAGTTTCTGGTTGTATATAAATTTTTAAAAAAAATTGTAGGTTTTGAATAGTTAATAATAGAAAAAATATCGAATTAAAAATGTATAGAAAATTAAATTTAAAACAACGGTTAAATTAATTTTTTTTATGTTTTTACAGTGAACGTTTTATAAATTAACAATTTTAATGGTAAAAATAGAACATATACGTTTTTATTTTTTCAGGGTTAAATAAGAACTTTTCGAAAATTTTTGTAAATATACTTTTTATAGAAAAATTGTATACCTACAAAATAGTCCAAATAAACATTTTCGAAAAAGCTAAAGTTTTTGAGATAGACATAAAAAACTAAAAAATCACCCTTATGGGTTATTTTTAACCCCCTTGGGGCACGTCTTAGAGTTGACCAATCGTCACCAAATTTTGTACAATTTATTTTTTCATGTATTTGAATAATTCTAGAGGGTGGCACTTTGTAATTTTTAAATTTTATAAATAAGTGACACCCTAATGTACATTGTACATAATGTCATTATCTTTGGTCTCGAAAAATACAAAGTAAAAATTTTTTAAATTTTACTGTTGACATCCAAAAACATAAAGGCAAATAAAATTTATTCACATTATTTTTCTAACTTTTTTATTGAATTTGATAATTTGTGGTTCCAAAATATGTTATTTAAAGTAAACACAGATTTTATATTTTTCTATAGCTTAAGTGATTATATTTTTATGAAACAAAATTATTATTGATAGTGAAATATTAAGAGATAAGAGTATAAATAAAATATTATAATCCTTGCTGTGCATCATACTGTTATTTTTATGAAGTTAAATTTTTATTTTTTATTGCTTTAACTAAAATTAAGATCATTATTCATAAGAATCGACAATATTAAAATACATTTTTATTAAAAATTAAATTTTACCGAATTCTACAATTTTTGATAAAATATTAATGAAGATATTAGTAACGGATAAGTTTATCATTCTTTAATGATGTAAACAATATTTTATTTTTATTGGTATAGTTTTATATTATAGAATATATTATTTTAATGGAGGTCATTCAACTTTTTTCCCTTACAGCACTCCCGCAACATACCCACTCTATGTATTTAAATCGTATAATTCAATAAGTACATATCCTAAATTTTCTATAGACTTATCAAAGTCATTTATTATATTGGATATTTTAAAATTAAAAAAAAATTATTTTTATTAATAACAAATAAAAAAAACCCAGCACAGGGGGGTTACGGCACAGTGGTGACGTGGCATAGTTGGATCAAGTATAATGATATCTGACAGTGATTAAAATCACTTTAAAAAAAAAACGCTTCGATGCAAATCTTTAGATAGTGTTTAATTTTAAAAAATTGATGTATTATTCCAAAAGCTACATGATCTGCTAGATCCTTATTAATATCTGATTAAGATAAAGTATGTCAAATGAAAAAGGGATTAATAAAAAATATTATTTCTCATAAAAAAATTGTGTTGATTCATATACTTTTCAATAAGTTATAGCATTGTAAAGTTAAAAATGTAAAAAATAAAATCGAGAATTTTCACACAAAAATAGCATTCGATAGCCATTTTCACCACGAAGACAAGTCCAGAGGTCAAATTTTGTTTTTTCATAATAAAGTATATTACATTAGCTTTAATTTAAGATATATATAAAAGTGTCAGACCTTCCGGAACATTTTCAAAAGTTAAGTTGAAAAAGTTAATTTTTTTGAAAAAGTTTATCATTTTAAATCCCCCCCCTATGGTCAGGTAAAGGATCAGATTTATAAAAACAATATACCAAATGAAAGGTAATAACATCAAGCATCTATAAAAAAAAAATTATATTGATATGTTCATTTTTAAAAAAGTTATGGCAATTTTAAGTAAAATAAATTGAAAAAATTTCGAAAATTAGCAATTTTTAAATTTGTAATTTTTTTGGAGGTTTCCCCCAGTTACGAGGAACGAGAGAAATTTTTTCAATTTTTGAGGGTAATGTCTTCGACTAGATACGATTTTGTGATCTTTTGACGTATCCTTGAAAGAAATCCGTTCGGTGAGATCTGAGAAAAAGTGGTAACAGACAAAAAAAAAAAAAAAAAACACATCATAGTAAAACCAATACCTTCTTAGCTTCGCATCGAAACTATAATATGTATTTAACATCGTTAAAACTGTTAAAAAAAAAATAATGAAAAATATTTTCTGCATTATTAATTATTTGATTTATCATAACTATCTGTAAAATTATTTTAATAAAATGATTCTTGCTACTAAATTGTAAATAATATTAAGATATAAAAACTGTACTTATATCAAACTGTATATTTCATATGTGAAAAACTTCTCTATAACTTATACAAATTAAATATTTTGTAGTCTATATCATCTTAGTAATAAAAGTCATATCCGCTAATAAAAAAATAGATCTAATACTTTTTAAAAATAAGTTATACACATTTTACATTTCATTTCATTGAATTATTTTATGGATAGTATTACAAATTTACCCTGATTCTCATCATGTTATAAATCACTTTCTGTATATTTTCAGTCTTCAAGAAAAATCGTTGAAACATAATATAATAATTTGAATAGAAAATTATGTATACAAAAATTATTAAAAGTTTTAAAATTTAACACTGTATATATGATATGTAATGTTATTATTTTTATTGAATAATATTACTTTGTATGATTACTTCATAAAATTATCAAAATTGCAATTAATATAAATTGTATTAATAAAGATATAATTTAATACGTACTGTATTATTGAAGTACGAAAACAGAAACATTGTGGATAAAGTACGCAACAGATATTTTAGTTGTAGCAATTTTCAGTTAAAATTATTAAATTATATTTAATAGTAATGTAATCTATTGATAACATAACTAATCTTTAATTGAGTTATTATAACATAAATCAACAAAAACTAATTTTATCCACATTATTTATTTTATCTTAATGACCTACGCTCAATTTTGTTGTTTTGTACATTTCTATCCAGTAATTTCCCCGATTTAAATTACACAAAGTTGAATATTTATTTTTGTCAAGCGGTTAGTACACTTTATGACTTCCAAGTAAACTAACATGACAATTAGTGAGTATAATATACAACACGAAATTTTTTTTTCTTTTTACAATGAGAAATTGTTATAGTAATAACATTATAATTTAAAAACTTTTTCATCTGTTTTTTATGTCTATTCCTTTTTATTATCATAATTATTATTTATAAATTATTTTCATTGTAAGACGACTACGATAATTTTTGAACAGAAAAATTTATATTAATGATATTTTGTTTAATTAGTAAAATATAAAACTAGGTAAAGGTACTTTTTTATCATGTTTTCCATTGTCCTATTTAATAATAAGTTTATCATACAGCTATTTCATTTGGCAATTATTTTCTTCAAAATAAGTATTAATTACAAAGAATGTATATCTATATAGGCTTTTTTATTTTATTAATATACTTTTAAAATACACACTAAAAAGCATTCAAATAAATCCTGATAATTGTTTAATATTGAGAAATATTCGAATATTATGACTAACTAACCTTATTTGTTGTTAATTTAGGCACGCCGAAGTAATCTTTTAGTATTAAAAAACCATTAATGGTTCACTAAAAAGTGATTTTAACTTTTTGTTAAAACAATTTTATTATATTTAAAAATGTATATCATAAAAAAAAATATATAACTTAAATATAGGTAAAATAATAAATTTCAAATCAAAATATGTTTATTTTATTACTTCAATAGCTGTTTTTAATAGAATAATGCAGGTTTTGTTAGAAAATACTAATTAAAAATAGTTTAAGATTTAATCAGTTTTGTTATTTATATATATATGTAACGCAGCATTACCTTAAATGATAGCTCTAGTATTTTGTATAAAAACAAGTTAATTAACAATATATATTTTTGTGTAGTGTTTGTTCTCGACGATGAACCATTGTTTTTTTTAAATTCTAGGTAAATGTAAAATTACTTGTTAAAACCTATAGTATAGCAATAATTTTACAAAATCAATAAAATATGGCGCTCACAGTAGCTACTTTAAACACATTAAGAGTAGCAAATCATGATTTCTCTATGGCTCTATACTCCGTAAGTAGATGTATTACTTATTAAATTTGAGATAAATTAAACAAATAACTTAACTTTTAAAATGTAATAGGAAGAATCAAAACATTTTTTTAAATTTTCTTCCTATCAAAATTAAACCACCTAAAGTAGTTTGAACTTAATAACCAATATGTACATATGTAAAATTAAAAACAAAAAGTTATCTTGTTATATCAAATCAATATAAAATATAATTTTCGTTTTTCAGAAATTGAACAAAGACAATGAAAATCTATTCTACTCGCCCATAAGCATACACATTGTTTTGTTGATGGCAGGAATAGGAGCTGCTTCTAACACTTATAATGAAATTTTCGATACTATTCGTATGCCAAAGAACGATGACACTTTAGAACCTTATGAAAAGTTGTTAAGCACTCTTAATGTAAGTACATTGTAATATGTAGAATTAACATAGTTTAATTCTCACATTATTGTATTATAATTTAAATGTTTTGATATATATATATATACCTCATTTCTTTTATAATAACACATATCAGCGTTTTTTTTAATGCCGTGTAATAATTTTCTATTATTACTTATTATGCTCAATGACATTCTGGAATTTTGATAGTAAATAGAGTTAATTTTGTACCTTTAGTTATTTTGGAGAGTAATATTTTTGATAAAATACTGTTTTTAGGAAAAAAATGACGCTGTAAAATTAGCAACTGGCATGTTTGTTGAAAAATCATTCAACATAAAGCAAAGTTATGTAGAAAAAGTCTTGAAATATTTAAATTCATCCGTAGATGAGTTAGATTTTAAAAGTCAACCAGAAAACCAACGGAGTTACATTAATCAATGGGTGGAAAATAAAACTAATGGAAAAATAAAAAATCTTTTCCCAAGTGGTAATTGTTAATGTTGTTTATAAAAATTTGTTTCAGGTATTGAATAAATAAATTAAAATATATTTTAGGGTCTATTGATAAAGACACCTCTTTGATATTAGCGAGTGCATTACATTTTAAAAATAACTGGGAAGATGATTTTAATACTGCTGTGGATGAACTATTTTACTTGGCAGCCGGACAATCAGTAACTACAAAAATGATGCACTTGAACGAAAATTTGAAATATTATCATGATAGTGATTTAGAATTGTCTGCAATTGAATTGCCTTATATTGTATTGTTCATCATTCATAAGTAAAAACTTGCAAATGAATCTTGAAAATAAAATTGTTTTTAATTTTAGAATTATGACTACAAAATGATGATTTTGTTACCTGATGCTAAAGATGGATTGTCTAAATTAGAAAATAACTTATCAAAAATAAAATTATTTGAGATTTCCAAAAAGATGTCAACTTATACTGTTGACGTTAAAATGCCAAAGTTTAAAATCGAGCAAGAATATAACCTGGTTGACGTATTGAATAAAGTATGATATTGTATTTAATAAAATATTTAAAATTTTATTTGTGAGACTCAAATTAATAGTTATTATTTTAAAGGTTAAAATGTTTATTTTGGTTACAAAAATTTGTCAGTAATAATTTGTTTTAATTTTAATTTATTAAAGTTAACCAATAGATATTCTTTATTGAAGTGTCTACTGATAATTGTAAAAGTAAATTCTGGATTTCTGCAAATTTAATAAAAAAAGAATATATTTTCAACTATTATATTGTTTGTTGTTTTAAAACTTATATTAGTTATCAAATTGTTTCAGCTCGGTTGTTCATCAATGTTTTCATCAAATGCTAACTTTTCTGAAATATCTGATGGTCCTATTGTTGTAAATGATGTTTTACATAAGGCTTTTATTGACGTTGACGAAAAAGGAACTGAAGCTGCTGCTGCAACGGGTAAGTTCATTAGGTTTTAATTTATGCACCTATTATATGTAAAATTAATTTTTTTTTAAATATATTGCTTTATTATTTATTGAAGGTTTTGCGTTATAATAATAGAAGTTTTTTCACATGCATCGTGTTTTAAGAGATACTATTTTTGTGTTAAGGCATTAATACAAAACTATGATCAGTTTAATTTGCTAATAAATCGATGTTTAATTTTTGCTTAGGAAATTATTGTAATTAATTTTTTTGTCTATTACTGTATAACTTATACTAATATCTATTTAGGCTTGAAAATTGTTCCAATGAGTGCACTCATAGCACCAAATGCCCAATTCTATGCAGATCATCCATTCATATTTGCAATTATGACGCGTAAGAATGATATCCTTTTTATGGGTAACCTCAAAAAACCTTCAAATTAATATTCCTTTTTTAACAAAAGTTTGATTGTGCTATTTTTTTATTGATATTTTTTTTTTTGATAATGATAATGTAATTTAAAATTTTGCAATCGAATTTAATTTATATATAAAAAAACTCATTTTAAACAAAATAACATAACTTATTCGGTTAAATAATAAACGAGTTATTCATATATAAGAAGTTATTTTTTATATATTTAAATAAATCAATAGATTAAAAATTGTTCAAAATTAAAATTATTAAATTAATTTTATATTTTAATTTTTAATAATGTAAATATCTTTTATATAGTAGAATTTAAGCAAAATCAATCACTATCTAATGAATTAAAATAAAATAAAAAATTCATATACAATTGAGTTTAGTATTATCTAGTAACCATGGTACATTTAAATTTAGAAAACTGATGTTAAAGCGAAATAGAACTACAAATCAGCAAGAGAAAAAAAAATTGTAATTAAATGAGCATCTTATTCATATTAGTAAAGAGATTATTATTAACTTTGATAAAAAATAGCAGATAAATATTTTTTATTTAACAATAAAAAATATAGCAACCAATTATAAAAGTTAAAAAATTATTATATTTTATCAGTTTTATTGCAAATAATTCTAACATAATGTTGTTTTAATTAGTAATGAAACAAACATGATAAAGCCAATTAATTTTTACTTTTGAATATTTAGATTAACTATAGTAAAAATGTTTTATCTCAAAGAGAATAGATAGATAATTGCTTAAAAAAAAAAAGTTTAGAAATATATATTTAAATAATTTTACTAAGTCGTTGAATTATGGTTCTTTCATTGACCAATTTAAACGTATTAAGAGTAACTAATCATCAGAAAGATGGAAAAATATCTGCAATTAAATTACATCATGATTTAATAGTCATCATTAGATCCCAGACTTAAATTTCCAGAAAATATTAACATCTTTAGATTTAATATATTCATTTTTAACTGTAACGCTATCTAGCGGATAAATAAATAAAATCTATTACGTAAATACTATTTTGAATGTAGATCGCGATTGGCTAATAAATTAAATATTAAAATTTAGTGTGATTGTCTGCATTTAATTTATAGAAGAATTTATAAGATAATTGTATACTTATATTCAAAGTTTTATTTTTATATAAATTTTAGAAACTCTACAATTAAATTGTTTCAAAAATTTTAATATTATTTTTGATAATCCGAGAATTGGGATAACTAGCAACTCATTTACCCTATACATCCATTTTCGTTGGCTTCATACTCCGTTAGAAAAAATTTGAGTCATGTTATGTTATGAACATTTTATTTTTATTTCAAATATATCATTAATTTTTTTCTGTCATCAATATTTAAGTTATAATTGTAGTATTTGTAAATACTACAATTGTGGATAAAATATTATAAAACATTATCAAAATGTTATAAAAACTTGATTATGTTTATAGAATTTTGATAATGTTTCAAGCTATTATAAAGGTATTCCATCAAGTTTTACAGTAGTTTTAACAAAATTATAGATGCACTTTTTTCTATAACTTTGTTTAGTTGGTTTTTTTTGTTGTTATAAATTATGTGTACAGAAGATATTATGAGCATTCAAAAAAAATTGTGTAAAATTTAATGTTATTAAATTTAATAATAAAAGTAGCTCTCTTAAAATTAAAAAAAGTTATTAATGACGAACATTTTGATGTCTTCTATAAGTCATTAATAAAATGATTTATATCTATCGACATTTTATAAGTAAAAGAACTAAAATCCTTTTTAAAATTTATTTGTAATTTTTTGACACATCAAAGAAAACATCTTTCATTGTTCACATGATTAAAAATCTTGAAAATCCATATGATATATTATTTTTTGGGCAAAAACCACAAAATTTAAAATTATATACATGTTATTCTTATAAGTTTAACATAATTAGAAAACTGTTTATTTTGTTAAATTATTCAATTTATAATTTTTAAGCGCTATTAAATTATTTGACGAATTTAAGAGAAAAAAAATGTTTACATGATTCATATCATACCAAAGTAATCAATTATTCATATACACTGTTAGTGTCACATGGCACCCATACTACTCTGGTTACGTGGATGTTAGACGTATTTACCTACTCGTTGACGGTATTATGTCGGGACAGACAACGCACGTCAAAACACTCTTAGTGTGTTTAGTGGGTAAAACTGGCTAAACAAATGGCTTTGTGAGGATTCGGGGGTATGTTTTTCGTCGATTGCCACTAAAAATCTATGTTCAAACATGCGTATTTGTAAATACGCTTAAGACCACACCTATAGAATGCACGTTTTGTGAATAGTTAATATTTATTACCAGCCATCATGGAGAAGTCTATCCGAAACGTTTTTGTTGATGTTGTTTCAATTCTTTGCAATTCCGTCAAATGCTAATGTTAATGGGCTTACGAAGGCATCAGCTTTAGTTGTGATTATAGTAAATTTGCCCATCCAAACTCATAGCATCAATTTTTACTTCCCAATGGAAATTATTTTATTAACAAACACTAATTTACTTTGATGTCGACGTGAATTTCTCGAATAGAAATTGACATCAATTCATCAACAAAAACGAATTACGATGATTGTCTATTGCTTCCAACATAAATTGTTCATTGTATCCGTTTAAGTTGAAATTTTCATGTGAGGTTATCTATCAAAGTGTAAATGGTCGTAGTGGTGGCTTTATCATTTAGAGAATGTTGTCGACTAAATTTGGCACGTTTAATTTTTAGGAATCCTCATGTATTTCATATTATAGTTATTTTGAAATCTGTGTTTAAATTTGATTCAGATTTAATGTTAAAGTTAATATAAATATAAATAAAAGGATAGACGTTTACCTTTACATTTAAAATTGAATACAGAGCAATACAATTGTGATGCATAATTTAACATTAACTCATTTTGATATGTTAAATAATAAGAGACAGTACCAGATTCATTTCATTTCAAAGCACAAAATTACTAAATAAATATTTTTTGATTTGAAGGTTTATTTTAACTTTATATTATGTTTGTTTGCTTTTTTTTAAATAATGCTAAAAATTTTGAGTTATATAATGAAATAACGATCAAATAAATAATATTATTAATAATTTAAACTTTTTGTTATAAATAATTTTTTTTTTGTAAAATGTAATTAAATTTAATATACAGAGTGATTTATTAAAAATATTACCTAGCCATTTTTTCGTTAAACAGCATTTTTTTAAAATAAAACTTACAGATTAAAATTATGCAATCACAGTGTATATATTTGTTATTATTTAGAATAAGGAAAGCAAGTGAAATAAATTTTCTTAAATTTATATTTCCTAAAAAATGTATATTTTCAATTATTTATTTGCACAAAGAAAAAGACGCTATCGTAATTGATTTTATGTAAAATTCAATAGATATCATTTCAAAAGTCATTAAACGAATGCCTATGAAAAACTTTGATTCACGCACATATTTGTCGAGAGCAAAATATTCGAGATTTTATAGGTCAACACGGTTTTGAAATAATTTGATTTTTTCATATCCGATATTTTATCACGCATTAAACAATATTTATCTTAGACAGGTAAGATTTACAAGAGATTTACTAATCTAGTAATGTCAACTGGTAAATTAGCCACATGGCTAATATCAATCCACTTGTTCCCACGAGCATATACGACCGATACACGCGACACGACCGATGCACTGGCAGTATGTTACACGTTCCCACGGGACGCATATTTTTCTTAAAAGCAACCAGTTACAGGGTATAGTTCAGAATTACATGGATTATGTCTTTAAAACAATTTATATGTACCTCTAAATCATTTGACAATTACATTTTAGAGTAACGTGTTATTTATTTTTTCTAAGCTTTTAACAATTAGCCGCACACATCAGTGGTTAAAAATATTAAAACGTTATAGTCTAAACCTTCAGTAGCACTTTATTAAACACATTTAAAGGAGATATAGAATTCATATATCGTATAGCCGAGTAGGTTTCAGAGGATTTTACAAAAAAATAAAGGAATACAAGCTGTTAATGATTTTTAAAAACAAACTGTACAATTCAATTATTTTTAAATTATGATTCACGTTTTCGACTTACAAACATAACAGTCGAACAACATGTTTAAAAGTGTTTTCGTAACGTTACATCTGAAATACGTGGCTTTGGAATATCAGGTTCAGTAGGCAGTTGCAGAACGTTGTTATATTTGTGTACGCGGATAATTTCCGAAGAACATTTTTTAATGACTGCCGGTTATCGTAGAACATGGCCGTAGTAGGTTTTCTTTTTTGTGCGCCGTCCGTTTTGTAAAGACATGAGATATTATTATTACATAATAATAATAATGGGTAATCGGTCGTTATTCGACTTAATTATGCTTGGGATCCATGTGGCGTGTTTATATTTATAAACTTTGAAATTAATAACGTGTAAGTTCGTTTGGGTCGATGGTCCGTGGCAGATAACCCTGACTCATATGCGCCTATGTTATCATAATATATGATATAGGCGCCACAACATAATTCTATCGTCCGGCCATCTGTTTTGGATATTGTACCGACAGCGGTGGCGTTGACAATCCGTTCGGTCGTGGCAAAGCGGACACCTTCTATTTCTTTAATACGCACAACGAATTCCAGAACCCCAAAACTACAACCGTCCACCGCGACACGCCGCACCATATTATTTTTTTTAAAATAAACAACTAGGTGACCGCTGCAACTGATTTACATTGCATCGGACAACATGAAAATATATACTCAGTACATACACGTATAAATAAACGTATCCGACAAAACTGTCGATACGTTCACTATCTGTTTTATTTAAAACATTCGTGTTCGCGTTATTTTATTCCGGATTGACGTTATACAGGGTGGCCCACCACTCACTGACAACTTGAATAACTTTTGATCCAGTTAATATTTTTAGTTGATTTTTTTTTTTAATAATAGTTATACGTTAGGTCCATAGCTATATCTCAATAATTAATTTTTTTACATTTTATTAAAATTATTAATTATTTTTAAATTTTAAATAAAATGTAAAAAAAAATCTAAGATATCTATTTTGTAGAGTAGAATTTAAGAAAAATGTTAGCATAAAAATATCTTATTAATATTGAGTAGTAAATATTCTGTAGCGTTTTGAAGTTTGTGAAAATTTGAATTTTCATGTATTATTTTACGGTATTAAACATTGAAATACGTATTGAGAAAAGGACAGAAGAAAACGCTATCTTTTCA